AGTCTTATGAAAAATGATTTGAGTTTTACAAAAGTTCTGTTTTTCTCTTCTCCCCTTTTTTTCTCAGAAAAAATTCTCTCTATGTCTTATGAAATAATGCCTTTTGTAGATTCTTGACTGAGGTTTAAGAGGGAAACAAAATAAGTTATTTTGAACTGTTTTTGCCTATTGCTTTGATACTTTTTACACATAATTTTCCTTTACCATTTTGGTGCAATTTTGTGGCTGTTATGATGCAGGTTGGAGCAGACTGCATAAAGCAATTATGGACTGTATAGGACAGCATATGCAGGTTTTTGTGACAGGTTTGTGATGCAGCATAGCACAAGGTTTTTTTTGTAGGACAACAATGGAGCAGAGTTTTAGAGTGTTGTGGTAATGTATAGAAGTAGCATATCATACTTTGTTCAGCAATAACTTGGACAACATAGTTTGCAGCATGAAACAAGTTTGGTTTGTCGAGCAATTTATGCAAATTGTATCAAAGACAAAGTATTGTGGCAAGGTTTTGAGTCAAAGGAAAAAGTCCAAGCAATACAAAGTTTGGGATTTGTAAACTTGCAAAAATGCCACTTTGTAATAACTTGAATTATTTGTAACATCTTGAACTATTTTGAGTTGTAGTGTCAAGATGTCATGAAGCAATGAACTTAACTTAGAAAAATTTCCAAGTCTTGCAAAAGTTGGATTTTTAACTTTCTTGATTTTTGATGATTAAATTTCATATTTTGGATGTCTTGATGAAATATGATTTTTGGGACTCAACTTTGGTCAAAAAGTCAAAGTTTGACTTTTTAGTATACAGTTGACTTTTCCCACCAATTGACCGAATTTTGTCTATCAATCCACTGATCTCAGGAGATGAATTGAAATATGCAATTAGGTCAAAATGACACGCTCGGATCTTTGAGATCATGCTTTCAATCAATAAGCCAGGTATTAGGTCAAAAATCAAAGTTCGGTCGTTTACAGTCAAAACCCTAATTTTACCTTTTTGGTAATTTGAATGACTTTCTTGGAAAATTGTGATCCCAAACTTGAAACTTGACAAAAATAATCCCGAGGATCCATAATGATCCATGAAAGTCATTCGAAACATTAAAAATCCAACTGGCTTTGTACAAACTCAAACCCTAATTTGAAGCGTTAGTGCTGAGGAGATTATTTAACCTAGTCAGTGCTTACGCAAACTTGAATCATTGAAGATGTTTGTAGGGAAATATATTGAAAAATGAGAGGAAAAATTTTGGGGTACAATAGTGTGTGAACAAATTCTTAACAAAATATAAGTTTTATAAATTTATACAAATTGCATGACTTTAAAAAATTATTGTATAAGAATTAATAACAATAACCTCAAATAACATAATCCTGTTAAATGTATAATTTCAAATCAGATAAATATTAAATATTTATATATCCAAATTAACTGTCAAATAAATTCACATATGCAGCAAAAAATTCTTTAAATAAATTATTTTAGAATCAACAAAAATTCATTCTAAAATCCAAAGTATCCAAAATTTAAAGAATCAAATCTTTAGTTTTACCTTATAATTTTGAGAGATATCTAAAATATTCAAAAATTTCCATAAATAGTATATAATAACTAAGTATATATTAAGCAAATTAGAATTTGTCTTATCTCTCAAAATCGAAATTCATGTGCATATTTTATATCAATCAAATTGAAAAATAAAATAATAATTAAAAAATCAAATAAAAAGATTTGATAATAAGTCTTTTTTTTTTTAAATTCAAAACCAAGAATTAAATCACTAAAATAAGATTTAAATTCAATATTTATCTTTCTCAAATAATTGACATATATGTATATTTTTAATTATATTATTTATAGTCATAAATAAAGTGCTGAGAATCAAAATTCTTTAAAAGAAAATATATTTTAGGATTCTCGATCATCAATCATAATCATATATGTGATTCTAAAAAAACTAAACATGAAGACCTGCTCTGATACCATTTGTTAGAATTAATTCAATAACAATTAATCACATATATATTTTCTATATATTATATCATATACTTTAGTGCAGAATATAATAAATAATTATGAACATGTATATAACTATAGGATCTAGAACATGTTAATATACTAGATATGAGATTTCAGGAATATCTGGATTCATAAGATAAAAAAACTTTTAGCAATGATAATTGTAATCCTGAAACGCACACTTGTTGGCTTGTGGATCTTCCTCAACCGGCACTCCTAATGCCTTGAACACTCTTAAACGGGAAGAAGATATTATTTTGCTTTTGTTCGGTATATTGGGGACCATACCTTTATATAATGTGATGGCCAATTAGGATTTCCATTATTCCCAAATGGGTCATATCCACTCATATTTGAGTCCATACCCAATTATTTAATTAATTAATTAAATAATTCATAAATAAAGTCTAAATAACCTTTTAACATTATTTGATCACGTAATTATTTAAGACACTTTATTTAATAAAATAACTAATATAATTAAATAAATATATTTGACCACATAATTATTGGAATACTAATATAAAATTATATTATTAAAATATTTCAACATTTTGCCCAAGAATTATTAAGAAATTTCTCACTCCTTTTTTGAATTTCTTCCACTGTTTCATCCACTTCATTAATTTGGGTGGCATCTATCTACATTAGGGGTTGGTAAACCTGGTTAGATAGGTGGACTATCCATAGTGTTGCACAAACCTCATGACTTGTTTCAACATTAGTAGTAGGAACAATGAATTGAACTGACCTCATTTATTTTTATGAATTATTTATATAAACACCAATAAGACTTTTAGCCACATTAACATCAACTAAAGTAGAGATGACAATAGGTACCAATGAGCACATGTACTAATTTCCCGCTATCTGTCCCGTTTAGTAAATACGATACTCATATTCGTGCAGATATCCGTTAGACGAATATCTGTGGATTTTGAGATACCTGCAGATATATACGGATATCCATGGATACTTTTTCTTTAAAAAAAAATATAATAAACTAATTTTTTTAATCCTTTTTAAAAACAACAACATAATTTCAAATTTAACATATAATAATAATAATAATAATAATAATAATAATAATAATAATAATAAAAATAAATCACATTCATTTTATTTCTTCTTTTTATAAATAATTATATTATACTCAACAAAATAATAATAGTTCATTCAACAAAATACTACTACTACTACTACTAATAATAATAATAATAATAATAATTTTAGATTAAATAAATCAATATTTAAGTAATTTTGTTAATTATTAACGAATACGGATACCCGTGGATATGAGTACCATCAAATCTATATTCGTACCCGTAAGTAAACGGATAACTAAATATCCATTTATTTTACCGTGGATACCCATTAAGGCATCCTACCCGTACCCGTGACGGGTTTTACCTACGGATACCCACGAGTATGGATTTTTTTGCCATCCCTAAACTAAAGGATGTTTGATCACACTATACACAGGTGTTGTGTCTCCATAACTTCAATGACAAGATTTGTAAATTTCTCCACCACACGGGGCATAAACTTTGTTCAATTCTCCTTTGTTTTTATTTTTTAATTTGCCAAGGTCAGACATTGGCTTCCTTTTGCAATTTGCATTATAGTGGTCTATTCCATTGCAAAAGTTGCAAGACTCAAGTATCCTTTCATATTCTATCTCCACATAAAAAGTAAAAGCTATTCTCTCAACAAGTATTTTGTTGCTCAAATCTTTTGTCAAATCTTATGTCTACCAACACTATCACATAATGGCCAAAGGCCTTGTCAAAGGCAAACTTGTTAAATGTAGAATCAATGCATATTGGAATGCATATGTTGCTAGCAATACCAATGATGATTTTGGGTCTTCAATACTTTTGGAAAAGACCAAGAATTATGACCCAAACCTGTGTAGAGGTGTGATGAACATATGATGGTATATAGTCTCTAGTCTAATGGAATAACTTAAGGACCCAGGGTTTAGGTTCCACGAGTTTAGTGATATGACCATACACACATCTTCCATGCTAAAAAAACTCAAAGAAATTTTTTCCAAGAGATGTAATGTCTCATTTCCCGATTGATTTCTCAAGAGGGCTAAGCTTAGCGTAGAGACAAGCCACAATAACCTTTAGGCCAAATGATTCTACCATGGATGTTAGGTTTGCATGCTTCTAGACCTAATTGGAATTCATCCTCATATATTTCTACTACTATACTATCACATTTAACACAAAGGATTAAGAGTTGATTTATGGGAATGTTACAAGCATTATTAACTACTTCTATAAATAATTTTAAAGTTTTGGGTGTGAGGTTCGTGTGTACCATTTGAGGACAAGTTTGTGATTGATGAACTTTAATAAATAAGTCATAAACAATCTAGAATATCATTGGAACAAAATAGAGGGTGCATGTCAAAGACTAAATCATCACTATTTTATTCTTCGTAAAAGTGTTTTATTCTTCGTGAAAATCACTAGAGTTTCATGTTTCATAATTTTTATTTATCAATATAATTTTTATTTATCAATATAAATTGAGTTAGAAAGTAGCAAGAAAATAAACTATAATTTATATTTTTACAAGTTATAGTTTAAAATATTAAAGTTGAAATTAATATAATACAATTAAAAATAAATAGAAAAAGAATTTGATAAATCAAAATACTCAATAATAACTTTTTATTTTTAAATCTTGTGCCCTAGACCCAATTACTGAACCATCCTTATCTATTTCTTTTCAAAACAAAAAATTATAATTCAACCTTTATAATAATTAATGAATAATTTTTTAATTAATTATTTACAGCAAAAAAAAAACATGAGTGTTGTCATTAGTGTGCTTTTGCAATGTTCTCCTTTCTTTTCAGTCTTTCAGTTTCAGTTTCAGGAGAGTTTCTGCTTTTCCACTTTTTATTATTTAAATCATTTCCAATATAATATAATAAAATATTTATTTTATTTTTATTTTATCTATTCTTCGTTCTTTCTTCTTCTTTTTGACTACTTACTTTATTCAGGCTCCTCTCTCTCTAAACTTTTTCTCTCTCTCTCTCTCTCTAAACTTTCTCTCTCCTCTCTCTCTCCACCATCACCCGCTTCGGAGACAACGCCGGAACACCGTATACTCTACCGGAAAACTGCCGGAAAATACTCTGTTCTTATTCTCTGAAGTAGACCGCTCCGACCAAGTCTCGGAGAACCGGGTTTTTTTCGTTTCTTCTTCACCCGGTCCAAGTTGCTGCATGAGTTGAAAAAACGGCTTTTTTGACTTGGAATTGTCAATGGGGTTACTGGGTTTCTAGTTTTCGTGAAGAGGAACGGATCTACTTAGGTTTTTTGCAGTTTAGAGGATAGATAAGAAGTGGGTTTTGAGTTTCGGAGAAATTGAGTTTGAGGTTTATGATGTACGGAACTCTGAGAAGCGATCGTAGAGGATGGTGGAGTTTCGGTGAATTTCTCACATGGAATGGCAGATCTTGTTAATCACAGGAATGCAGACCGTGACATTCAGCAGGTGGGTCACTTGTTTCACGTCAAAGTTCTGATTTTTTTTGGTAGCTGGTTTTGTTGTTGAACTTTTTTGTTTTTTGGGGTGGCAAAGACTGTTATGATTATGATTATGATTATGTTCGAGTGTTTTGTGTGTCTGTCAGTGTTTTCTTGTTTGAACTAATTGGGAAATTTGAGGGATACCAAACTTAGGATATGAATTTTGGTTAAAAATGTGATTTTTATCAAGTGGGGTTTTTGATTTTGATTAAATGAGGTTTAGTTTGTTAAATGACTTTATCAATTGTCTTGGAATGGGATATTCCGGAAGAGAAAAATAGGGTATGTTTGTTATTGGTATTTGTTGCCAACATATGTTAATGGTGACTATGCTGATGACTTCTCTCTGTTGGGGGAACTTGGCTGACCACCTTTAGTGGGGTCTACCCTACCAACCACATATTTTTTCATCACAAGGTCCCAAGCCCGGATAAGGAGAGGATTGTGTTAGGCAGTCGACAGTCAACGTAAAACTTTATCGAATCTCTATAACATGAATCAACTACGAAATAATCCATGTAGCCGACTCCACTTAGTGGGATAAGGCTTGGTTGGTTGGTAAGGATCAAACTCCGAGACATTGCTTAAAAGATTCTTGTTCAGTTCCACAACATGATGTTGGTATAATAGAGGGCATATTTCTTTGGATTTGAATGTGATGTAAATGTGACTGATTTGGTTTAATTTGTTAACAGCTAAGCCAACTCTGTCGGGGTAGATTTCTTTTGATTCTTTCTTTATATGATGTACTTTTGATAGTGCAGCACCTTATGGTTAATAAATGTCTTGGATTGTTTGGTAAAATACAAGAGAATGTTGTACCTTACATCAGTTTTGTTGCACTTGCTGTAATAACTAGATTGGAGATAACTGAATTAGTGTTCCTGTAGAGAAATTGAGTCTTCTATTAATGTTAATTTCTTGGACAATAATGATTGTGTTCCCCAGAAACATCTCTGGCCCAGACATTATTTTCCAACCTCTATGTCTGGTTTATTTCCTGTATTAATATTTGTTTGTTTGTTTAATTTAATGTCTCCTCTAGTTTACCACTATATTCATTATGCAGGCGTTGATTGCTTTGAAAAAGGGTGCTCAATTGCTTAAATATGGTCGTAAAGGAAAACCAAAGTTTTGTCCATTTAGACTTTCCAAAGTAAGTTCAGGAAAATATTTTTCAGCAAAATTTTAGTGGATTCTCTATATTTCTTGCGTAGTTATATATAGGTTATTTAGCATGTTAGTTGATGTTATAGGAATGTATGATATGGAAAGGTTTTAAATTGTATTTTTTTAATGCTTTTACCTGCCGTTTTATTACATAGTAAACATTATAACAAAGCTATGTATGGTTTTATTGTAGTTTTTTTTTTAATGATAACACCCATTGATGGATGTAGCTGTCCTCGCATAGTACATTAAGATTATTGCTGTACTAAATTACTAATGATATCAAATGCAATCAAAGTTTGATTTCTCTAGTGGACCATTCCATCTTCTATAGAATTAGAGTTTATCATTCTGTGTCCTTCTGTGCTTCCAAGTCCTTTATTTCATCAATTTAGAATGACTATTAAGTTGTGGTGGCTTACTAACTTTTACGTATTGACTGAACAGCCGACTCCCAATCTTATCAGACCCAGCTCATTTCCTTTTTTTTTGTTTACAATCTATATTTGTTTATTACATTGGAATTAGCTACCACTTGATGTGTTTCAGTTTTACTAGTATAGTGGTGTGGCATATATACAAGTACGCTTCTTGGCCGAAATTAATAATTAACAATAATAATATTTTTTATTTTCCCACTACATGGGTTCGGTCAGCTACATAAATCAAATGTTGCCATAATATTGTGTTATGAGCCGTATCTACAAATACAACGACAACAATCAAGTCTTTTCAAACTAGGTGGGGGTAAACTATGTAGATCAATCAACACCGTGAAGTCCTATCATGTATTAGGTCTAGCAATAGACCATTTACCTCTAAATATCTCTTAATGGTTTGACCTATAGTTTGTACATCAAATTCTATCTCATTTACCTCTAAATATCTCATCAAATTCTATCTCATTTGACCTATAGTTTGTACATCAAATTCTATCTCATTTACCTCTAAATATCTCATTTATTTTTGGTTTTTATTGCCTCAGTTTTATACAAGATCTCCCTTGATGGTTTTGTATATAACTTTTGGAGGTCTCCCTCCTTTTTGAAATATTTAACTATCCTCCATATCATTGCTTCTCTGGGTCTTTTCCAAACATGTTCAAATCGTCCATGACGAGATTTTACCATTTACTCTACAATAGGAGCTATCCTCACTTTCTCTTTAATGACTTCATTCTTAATGTTATTTTCTCGTGTCACCACTAACCCAGCAGAGCCTTTTTCTTACAACACTGACCTCATTTTCTTGTTGTCTCTTTATCGCATGGCATTTAGTGTCATACACGTCAAAGGTGCTACAGTTGTGCTATAACTTTTTCCTTTTAGCTCAAGTTGTATTTTTCTATCACAAATTACAGTAAAAGTGTTCCTTCATGTCTTCCACTCTACATAACACAGATCTGAATTTGCTGCTGTTGGAGAACAACACATTTATCTAAAATAAATGATATTGGCCGTTAATTTGAGATTAGATGACTCAAATTACACAACAGCTAAATCCGTTTTAAACAATCTCTACCATTGATTTAGGTGGGACAGTTGAAATTAAAAACTGCTCTATAGATACAGCAGGGAATCCGTTTCCACTTAACACAAGCAACCTGCAGTATTCTATGCTTTTTCCAAATCACGAAAAGCCATGTGTATGTTTTTTTCATCTCTTCACCAGTCCTTCTAGCAAGTATACATTTTTCATCGTCCCTAGCATAAAACCAGATTTATTTTCTATGACTCGAATCTCTCATTTTAATCTCTGTTTAGTTACTTGTTCCCAAAACCTCTTAGTTCAACTCGTGAGTTTAACCTCATTATGATTTGTGCAATTTTGTTGCCTCATGGATAAGATCCATACTTCCTCAAGTATTGAGTTAGCTCATGGGTTTCTCTGGTTCATCTATGCCTCCTTGTGGATGGCTCCAGGTTACTGTTAATTATTACTATTACTATTGTTGGAAAATTTCATCTATTTAGGTAGAGTATTGTATCATATTAGATTCTTGTTTCCTAGTTTACTCTTTTATGATTTCTTCTTTAGTAAAATTTCCTAGAGTAATATGAAAATCGTGTGTGCTTATGTGTATATATATGAATTATTATACTGAGGGTTTCCCCGAACAATTCTATAAAGTGGTTTTCCCATCTTAAGACAGTGTTGTTAATAGCGGATCGCGGAAAATATCGGATCACCAAAAAACCGAATGAGAAATATCGGATATCGTAGCGGACAAATAGCTGAAACCGCAAAGCGGTTAAAATAAAAAATTATATATAAAATAGAACATGCCACACACATATAAAAGCTACTAACATAAACAAATATTAAAAAAGTTTACTAACATTAAACTGAAAATCTCAAGTTCTAACAACCTAGTTTAAACTTTAAAATCAAAATGACTTAAAACTCAAAATTAAATAGTTCAAACTTCAAAAATTAAGTAATAACTAATAGTTCTTCTAAGCATAACTAGTGGTAAAAATCTAATTATTCTCCATTTCAACATAATCATTATCCTCATTTTCATAATCCGAAGAATGAATAAAGTGAAGAGAAAGTTATGGTGATGGAGGCACTCTGATTCCTATAAATAATCACACCAACTCATTAATATTACACCTCTTCCCGTTCTCTTTCTTCTATTTTCGAGACTAGCAATCAGAATATGTTAATAATACTCACATCCCTCTTCACATTTCCACTTTATCAATACTCCACCTCTTCACATTCTAATTTATTACTGTGCACCTCTTGACAGCCTACTATTTACTACTATTTATTACTGTGCTCCTCTTCACAGCCTACTTTTTGATTTCACCTCTTCACCTTCTATATTTAAATATTTTTTAATATAACTTATTATAAAAATGATCATAATATTAATTCTGATATCAAATTCAAAACCGGTATATCGGTATACCAGAAAACGGCCGATATGTTGAGCGTAGCGAAATTGAAACGGAATATCGTCTTTCGTATCGGATAGCCAAATTCCGATATGAAAAACCAGTATATCGGTGATATATCCGATATTTAACAACACTGTCTTAAGACCTATTGCTACTCATTATTTTGTGATTTAGCATAGATTTTTTGGTATCTTGAGTAATGTACTCTATAGTTTACAAGGTATGATGCAATTTATTGGTTTGATTCCACATTTTGCGTTTAGTATGATCTGTCGGGCTTCAGTTATAATTTCAATTGGGCAAAAAAACCGAATTAAAACCCGTTTAAATTTGGGTTGGATTTACTGATTTTCTTCCCCATGCATGATTTTCTCCATTTGGTGCTAACTAGTAGTGACTTGAACTTGTGCTTCTTAGTTTGATGCATCATTTCTTATTCATGAATATAAACTTATGTTTCCGTGGTTGTTGAATATAAACTTCACAGTCATGTAGGCTTAGGTTTTGGCACTCGTTTGAGTTATTTCTAACTGCATTCATTGGACTATGCAGGACGAGTTATCATTAATCTGGTTTTCGAGTAGTGAAGAAAGAAGTCTGAAACTCTCTTCTGTCTCAAAAATTATTCCTGGACAAAGAACTGTGAGATTTCTACAATAGTATTTTATATCATACAAATGCCTTAGCATTCTTTTTTCGTGATTTAGAAAAAGTTCTATAAACGGTTTCTTATGTTATTTGATTATTTTTCCCAATCCTCTGACAGGCTGTTTTCCAGCGATTTCCGCGTCCTGAGAAGGATTATTTATCTTTTTCACTAATTTATAACCACGGGAAGCGGTCCCTTGATTTGGTTGGTACTGAAGTCTCAAAATCCATCAATAACTATGTCATTATTTTGCATCTATTTTCTGAATTTTCCACCTTTATAAATATTTATTTTTTGGTCATTTTGCAGATTTGCAAGGATAAAGTTGAGGCAGAAGTGTGGATTGCGGGTCTCGGGGCGTTGATATCTTCTGCTCAAGGTGGGCGGTCCAAAATTGATGGGTGGTGTGATGGAAGCCTGTATCTTGATGTAAAAACACCTACTCGTTGTCTTTGCTTGTGTTATGTTTCGTACTATGATGTATAGACTAGAAAATATGATAGATCCTGCTTGAGCCAGTATGACATGTTTTGTTATACCGTGAATTTTGGATGAATCACAATTGAGAGAACTTATTGTTTTCTTCATTGTAAGAGTAATTAATAGTTTCGTCTGAAGAAAACTAATATTTATTTTCCTAATTCTATTTTTCCATGGTCATTATTGTCTGATTTGATTAGAGATTCTGCGAAGTTCCTCTATTTTTCCTGATGCCATAGTGCCGTGTTACTGTTTGAATGATATAATATATGGAATGTTGCTTATAGTTCTTTCTGGCTCGATTATTTTCAGGATAGTAAAGACTTGACATCAAATAGTCCTAGTGAAAGTTCAGTTCGTGCTTCTCAAGACATCAGTTCTCCCGACGTTTCTGCCAGCGTACCAAACACTTCTCCAAAGTCCTTTCAGCCTGAAAATACCTTTAATCTCGAAAGATCACATGCACCATCAAACCCATCAAATATGCAAGTGAAAGGATCTAGTTCAGATGTTTTTCGTGTTAGTGTTTCAAGTGCACCCAGCACGTCCAGTCATGGGTCTGCACCGGATGACTATGATGCTCTTGGAGATGTATACATATGGGGGGAGGTTATCTCTGAGAATATTGTAAAAGTTGGTGCTGATAAAAATGTCAGTTTTTGTAGCCCGAGAACTGACATTCTCCTCCCGAAGCCACTCGAATCCAATGTGGTTTTAGATGTCCTTCAAATAGCATGTGGTGTTAAACATGCTGCTCTAGTCACAAGGCAAGGTGAAATGTTTACATGGGGTGAAGAATCTGGTGGACGCCTTGGCCATGGTGTTGGGAAGAATGTGGTTCAACCTCGTCTAGTTGAAGCATTAGCTTCCTCAACTGTTGATTTTGTCGCTTGTGGCGAGTTCCATACCTGCGCCGTTACAATGGCTGGGGAAATATATACATGGGGTGATGGCACTCACAATGCTGGACTTCTTGGTCATGGAACCAATGTTAGTCACTGGATACCGAAGAGAATCGCAGGTCCACTAGAGGGGCTTCAGGTTGCTTTTGTCACTTGCGGTCCATGGCACACAGCCTTGATAACTTCAACTGGACAGCTATTTACATTTGGCGATGGAACGTTCGGTGTACTTGGCCATGGAGATAGAGAAAATATTTCATATCCTAGAGAAGTAGAATCGTTATCTGGGTTGAGGACTGTATCTGTTGCATGTGGAGTGTGGCATACTGCAGCTATTGTAGAGGTTATTGTGACACAATCAAGTGCAAGTATATCATCTGGTAAATTGTTTACTTGGGGAGATGGAGATAAGAATCGACTAGGACATGGAGATAAGGACGCCCGGCTCGAACCAACCTGTATACCTGCTCTTATCGATTACAATTTTCATAGAATTGCTTGTGGGCACAGTTTGACAGTAGGCCTGACAACGGCTGGACGTGTTTTTACGATGGGTAGCACTGTCTACGGCCAGCTTGGGAATCCTCAGGCTGATGGAAAATTTCCCTGCTTGGTCGAAGACAAGCTTGCTGGAGAATGTGTTGAAGAAATTGCATGCGGGGCTTATCACGTTACTGTTTTAACCTCAAGGAATGAAGTTTATACGTGGGGCAAGGGTGCAAATGGAAGATTAGGTCACGGAGACGTTGAAGATCGGAAAATACCAACTTTGGTTGAAGCCTTGAAGGATAGACATGTGAAATATATTGCATGTGGTTCAAACTATTCGGCTGCGATATGCTTACATAAGTGGGTGTCCGGTGCTGAGCAGTCTCAGTGCTCTACCTGTAGACAGGCGTTTGGATTCACTAGAAAGCGGCACAACTGTTATAATTGTGGACTTGTGCACTGCCATTCATGCAGCTCAAGGAAAGCATTAAGAGCAGCACTTGCTCCTAATTCTGGGAAGCTATATCGTGTTTGTGATTCTTGTTATGTAAAATTGAACAAGGTTGCAGAATCCAGCAATAACAATCGGAGAAACGCAATGCCTCGTATTCCAGGCGAAAACAAGGATAGGTTAGAAAAGTCTGAGCTCAGATTGGCGAAGTCAGCCATGCCTTCTAATATGGATTTGATAAAGCAATTAGATAGTAAGGCAGCCAAACAAGGGAAAAAAGCTGATACGTTCTCTCTGGTTCGCGCTTCGCAAGCTCCGTCTTTGCTACAGCTGAAAGATGTTGTCTTAGCTACTGCTATAGACGTAAAACGCACAGTCCCGAGACCTGGTTTTACACCGTCTGGAGTGAATTCCAGATCCGTCTCACCTTTCTCAAGAAGATCGAGCCCTCCTCGTTCAGCTACACCCATTCCAACAACATCCGGACTCGCCTTCTCAAAAAGCATTACTGATAGTTTGAAAAAAACAAATGAACTTTTGAATCAAGAAGTGCTGAAGTTGCGCTCTCAGGTATATATTATGCTACATATCATTACTCGATTTTATAGTTTCTCCTATTATGGTATCAAGAGAGATCTAAAGTAAATCTCATTAGGTTGAGACCCTGAGACAGAGATGTGAGCTGCAAGAATTAGAGCTTAAAAAGTCAGCAAAAAAGACTCAGGAAGCTATGGCAATGGCGAGTGAGGAATCTACCAAATCCAAGGTTGCAAAAGAAGTTATTAAGTCACTTACAGCACAGGTTAATTTACTTCTCTTGGAACTATCCGTATTTCGAAGGATTATTTTCCTGTATTTTGAAAGATGAATGTGTTTTTTTTTTACATGTCACATTGTAATTTCAGCTCAAAGATCTGGCGGAGAGGCTTCCTCCTGGTGTCTATGATGCCGATGACATGAAACCAGCGTACCTGCCAAACGGTTTCGTCGAGACAAATGGCATCCACCACCGAGACTCAAACGGGGATCCGCACCACTCAAGGGCAGAGTCGATCAGTGGCTCCAGTTTGGCATCCATAGGAATTGAATCTTCTCTGATGAATAGAACCGATAGGAATTCACCTGGAAGCTATGCAACTAATCTTTACCAGCAGAGCCGGGGATTTGTGACCTCTAATGGGACAGATGATTACCGAGATGTTAACTTGCCAAATGGCAGTGGCACAATCCAGACAACCAACAGTAGTGTGTCGCATACAATTGACGGCAGGGATTCTGGAAATTTCCGAGAGGATGAGAGTGGCTCGAGATCAAGAAATGATGCATTGCCTGTTAATAATAATAATCAAGTAGATGCAGAATGGATTGAACAATATGAACCTGGTGTCTATATAACTCTGGTTGCCATGCGGGACGGAACGAGAGATCTAAGGAGAGTGCGCTTCAGGTAATAAAAGAACTTGACACGATTATCGTTGCTTTAAACTAAGAACTCTAAATTATCTATCACTTGTTATCATGCATGCTTGATGTATTTGGTGGTAAATGTGTATGCAGCCGTAGAAGATTTGGAGAGCACCAAGCAGAGACTTGGTGGTCGGAGAATCGGGATAAGGTATATGAAAGGTACAATGTTCGTAGCACAGACAAGTCGACCGGCCAAACAGCGCGGAAAGCAGAAGGTGGTGGTTCACCTGTTGTACAATAATATTAGGAAAATAGATTGAGGGAAAGTTCTCCATTTAACTCATTTTGCTGCAGTGAACATAACTAGGAAATCAATATGAAGGAACCAGGCACCTTTTATCATCTGTCATTTTTAGTTAAATTTCTTATCCTCCATTTTATTTGGGCTGGTTCCTGTTACATAGTATTTGTTGTACTGTAGTGTATATAAAATCATCGATATAACTTTCCTATTTTCTTTGGTTCTTTTTTGTTTCCCCTCTCGTACCTTTTTTTATCATCATTATGTATATGTAATACCTCATGCATAAAATGTGTATGGTGACATTTTTCTGGTTTTGAGAGTAATATAAAAAGAGAAAAATGATTATTTATGAAAAATATAAAGAATGAATGATTTGAAAAATTTGACAGTCCTCCAAAATATCCGAAGATTTTCTTGATACATTTTCCATGTTTCTCCATATTCATTGACAGTCCTCCAAAATTTTGGAATCTCATGCCGTTTCATATGTTTAGCATTTCTTTTAAAAAAATATTTTTGGATTTGTTTAACTACATTAGCATCTAGCGTCTATCAATTAGAACTAGGGAGGTGATTATAAGAGTTGTGTTATTTTCGTATTAATTTTGGGGATTTTTTAACCCATCCCATAGTTTTCTAATACAAAAATGTCCTTGGAAATTAGAAATATATTTTTGGTACACATTCGTACATGGATTTTGCTGAACAAGACTCTAATAGTTGAGAACTAACCGGAGGTATAATCTACGGATGGAGCCGTAATTGTATTTTCGAAAGTATTCCGAATACACACAATTGTTAAGATTGAGAAATCCAAGCTACCACGCAGATACAAACCGGAAATACAATTTCAGAAGGTCCCATAATTGTATTTTCAATTCGCTTTGATACTTAAACGCGTGCTGTCTCTTCTCCTTCCCCATTTTTAGAAATATTTTGAAAAAAAACACTACACACAAAAACCAAACCCTCTTAAAAAAATCAATCTATTTTGTGAAAAGCTCATCAAGAATTGTCAAGCTTCAGATAAACTTCAGTGTTCAAGCAGATTCAAGTAAGAAAAATTATCATTTGTAAGTTGTTTTTGAGTTTTTTAGAGTTTATGTAACTTAACCTACAAATTATGTTTTAGGGTTGAAAATTCAATTTTTTTAGTATTTACAATGTTAGGTGTCATAAGAAACATGTTAGGTACGCATTTTTTTTACGATCAATGATCGTTTTTTGATGTCATTGGGGATGAGCTTCGCCATTGACGAAGCTTAAATGTTGCAGGTCGTAGCGGAGATGTTACAGGTCGTACCGACAACATCACACTCCCGACTGTAAAATTTTTTGGTCTTATATTGTTTGTGTGTCGTTATTTTAATAATTGTGATTCTGTTACTAACTAATAATTATTGTAATTTCAGGCCTGGATCCTACAACACTTCCCTCGCATCTCGGGTTGGCCACTTGCCTCGAGTTATACTGAAGAAAGGCCATGTGCCACTGTATTTGACCCGCTTTGAGGGAACCAAGCGACAAAACTGTTACGGGTGTATATTAACTGGTTGATGTTTGACGATATACACTTTCATACCTACGTCGACCACCTTGTCACGATTCCATTTGACGATGTTATACTGTATTCTGGATGTTGGCTTGCGGGTCGTGCAAGAGGGTTGCTCATCTGTCTGAGCGTGTCATGCGTCAGTTCAGGTACATGCAGTATATTCCATAGGATCCTGTTATGTCTGCTCCTTCCCTGGTGAAACAGAGAGATATGGATGCTTTGTTTGGTGATTATGTTAATCATCTTCTTCTAGATGAGGCCCAAAGTACCTTAGTACCAGACGACTGGAGCTACGTGGACGTTTATATCATATGGTTCTTCAGGGTGTCACATCCATATGTAGTACATGATGTTTCAAGAAATCCACTGAGGCCAGCTCATCAGGAGATTCTAGAGGAGGAGCAGGTTAGGGTCGATCATGACACTGATGTGTTGCCTCTAGGTGTCGTTGTATCATGCAGATCGCACAGACGAATATTGATGGAGATATGTTTCTTGATGACTCTAATGTTAGAGGTGTTCTAGATGTCATCATGGAAGAGGCTCAGGAGGCTCTGCAATACAAGAGGCAACAGAGGAATGTCGGGAGAGTGACGGGCCGACTCAGAGTCCGTCATACCCAATAGTCTTCGTAGTATATGTATTTTGGTTTGAGTTGCATTTTGTGTATCGATTTTTGGATTGTTGTTGGATAATATTTTCGGTTACTGTCTTTATCGACTTCAGACACCTTTTGTATTGTTATGTCTTTGTTCTATATGTCTTTGTATTCATCTTGTAGTTTCCAACATACAAAATAATATAAAAACTGGCTACTGTCTGCATAACTTTTTCTGCTATTGTCTGCATAGGAACCGAAAATGTATTTACGGTTTTAACTAATATTCAACAAAAAAAAGTGCGTCCCGAAAATACATTTTTGGTTACGCAGGAGCAATTTCGAAATTGTATAGGATGTTTTCAACTATATGGGGTGTGATAAAAAATTTCTTTAATTTTGTTTTAAAAAGAGAGTCAAAACACAATCCAAGATATGTAACAGTTAAAATTGTCGAATGGAGTGATGATCTGACTCACTGGTTTAAGGAAGAGAATTTTATCTGTCACCCTCACATAAAGTTTGCTAATACTTTTATGTCCTTACTAATTTTTTTTTGGGATTTTGTATTGCCTTTACTGGATTTTTCCAAAAAATATTATAATTTTTTGGTTAAAAAATTACTGATTTATGATAAATATTGGATTTTTTTTTGAAAAATTCGATATAATTTTCCAGATTTTTGAAAACTGCCGATAGTTCATATTTGACAAAAAAAAAATTAACTCTATTGCAAATCTCGAAATATCTGATAAACTATCACACTTTTCGTAAAAATCCGGTAAACTACACTTTTAGAAAAATCCAATAGTGTTAATTTTTTTTTTTTTATAATTTATTGAGTATTAACGATCGACTTTTTAAAAAGTTTAGAAAATTACTAAAGATACCGAATTTATCTAAATTTTCGGTATTGTTAAATTTATTTTTCAAAAAAAAATCTATACTGATAATTTAAAAATGAACTACTGAAAATTTGGTCTATTATCAAAAACTTTACTTGACACTCCTAAGTTGGACTTAGCAGCCCCACATAACCCTTCATTTTACTATAATACCTCTAAAGCTAATTTTTTATAAAATTTTTCACCTTCAATATTTCATTTTTTGGATTTTTGAAAAAAACATAGTTTTCTATTGAAGATTTGCTATTAATATTAAATATTTACAAATGTTGTTTTTCATTAAATTTATGTATTTGTATAGATTTTTTGATAGATTACCAGAGACATATAAGAAAAAACATGCATTTTTACCGATTTTTTGAAATTGTCGATACCAAATTTATGATTTTGTACTGACAATTTGGAAGAATCAGGTATAATGCCATATTTTGGTTGTATTTTTTACTTAGTTTATCTAACAATTCAATATAAATATTATGTGTTTTTATCGATAATTTTGAAATGCCCAATAAAAAATGTTAGAATTAGAGAGAAGAGAGGAAGTGAAAGAAAACCATGATATTGTATTCATATTTTCAATGCTTTACAATAAGAGGAGGTCTCCTATTTATATCAGAGTAAGAGTTTAACTAACTCTAACTGCACATAGATAGATAGAATTGTACTATCTAACTAACTCTATTTGCCTATAGCTAGATATAACTATACCGATAGTTACACAGAAGCACAATATACTCTAACTATAACTTGTTATTTAATATAACTCTAGCATACCACTCTAACATTCCCTCCTTACAAGTGGATGATGTCTTGATCAAGTCGAGCTTGTCAAACACTCAAAGCTTGTCACGAAGAGTATAAAATATAATAGCTGAAAGAGGTTTATTAAGAGCGTTTACCCATTGATCTTGGGCATGAACATATGAGACAATGAGATTCTTGCTGAGCACTTTCTCCCTCACAAAAAAATGTCAACTTTCATGTGTTTAGTACAATTGTGCAGAGTTGGATTATGAACCAAAGAGACTGTACTCAGATTATCACAAAAAAATTAAAGGAGTCTTAAACCTACAACCAATTTCAGTTAAAAGAGATTGAAGTCAAAGTATCTCAACAAAAATATTGGACAAACTTCTGTACTCAACTTCGGCATTAGAGCAAGCTACCACAATTTGTTTCTTTGACCGCGTGAAACAATATTGGGGGCCTAGGTAGAAACATGCCCCTAATATGGACCTCTTATCATCAAGACCTGATGCCTAGTCAGCATCACAAAAACCAATGAGAGACAGGATGTTGCATATGAGTAACTTCCAACAACATACCATGATGAAGAATGCCTCCCAAGTATCTTAGAATTATTTTTATTGCCTTTCAATGTTCCTCTAGGGGATTAGACAAGAGCTGACATAATTTACATAAAAAGACATTTCTGACCATGTAAAAGTTTCATATTGCAGTGCTCTAACAATTGACCTGAAAAGAGTAGGATCCTCAACAGGAACATATCCAACTTTATATAGTTTCAAGTTAGAGAAAACTCAATATTAAGTTTGGAGACAAGTTTCTGAATATGAGAAAGTGAACTTCCTGTGATGATTATGTCATCAACATATATTAAAACCATGACATGAAGTGAATAAGAATTAAGAAAAACAACATGGAGTGTACAAGATATTTTGGTGAAGAAAGGATACATGTGGAACCAGATGCTCCAACACATGTGCAACATATGGCCCTTGTTAGCAGGCCATTGTTGTTGTTGTTTGGAGCAAATTTTTTGATTATATTTCAATCAGATTTGTAGCTATCTTTTTGCAATCTAATTAGTTAGATTTGTTTGGTAATTTAATAAGATCAAATTTAAATTATAGAGATTTAAATTTGAATTTAAATCAAATCGAATCTTTTAATAGAGTTGTTTTGGAAAAACAAATCT